TCAGGTGAATATAATTTTATTGCTGCACGTAATCTGGGAAATGTCTCGAATGGATAAAGCAATGGTTGGATTAACACCACAGCTTGAAATTTTGAAGTAATTATAATGTTAACTTTCTGCTTATACCTATGGGATGGCACCTCAGCACAGTTCTTATGCGGAAAGCCATGTTCAGACCCACTGTAAAGGCATAGCCTCAAGCCACACAAGAAAGTAGCAAACTGGCAAAAATAACAAACTTACTATATATTCACTTCGCAGCCTACATTTTTGTGAGGCTTGAGAAACAGGAAGCCCAGCAAAAGGTAGACTGCAAAGTACACCACAAACGTACTGCACAGTGAACCATTTTTTTTTTTTTTTGTAAAAAGATTGACTATGCAATTTAATTTGCAAGGGATACCCTTACTGTAAGCCATCATCTGATTCTGACCAATTCACCTTTTAGTTTGTGAGTACTTTCACTCCGACCTACTGGCCATCTTTTTCATGGTAACTGAATCTTGTTATTTCTTAATTACAATATTTTTGTCAATAGGAAGACAGCCAAGGCATGTATAGTTCTTTTCCCTCTTCTTGGTGTCACTTGGTTGTTTGGYGTCCTGACTATGTCACAAGTGGGTGTGGCTGCCCAGTATATTTTCACAATCATGAATTCAATACAGGTCAGCACAGCTAAATGCCACACTGAATCAAATCTGATTGTCAAAAGTTTGCAAGTTATTCTTAACAAATTATGAACTTTTCATCTAAAATACATGCTGCCATCTGTAACATTACAACTGCAACAGTCTCCTAAGCTCTTGCAGTGATAATTAAAGATGACTTATTACWAGCATATTTTACCACAGAACATTACAATTTCGTACCATTTGATCATTGCTAGCCCTCTCTATTTTTAACTCGAAGATTGCGAAGCAATCGAAGAGTTATAGGATTGAGATAGATGATGGTGTGTGAGGTGAGATGGACTAGTTAATAGGTCACTTATTTTTTCTGTAAACATACGGGCATTTAGAAATCCGTAACCAAGATGGCCAGGTGTTTTCATGGCAGAAGTGGCTTTTTAAACACACAAAATGTGATTTTTGAGGTCTGGACGTTCTTGTATAAGCTTCTTACCAATTAATCTGTTGATTTCAGAAGTCGTTTTAGGAGATATAGAGTCAATATGGCTCATAGACACGATGATTTCAAGGATTATTCCGATCCTTTCTCGATCGGTATTTAATGCTTATCGATTCATATAAACTTTAATATCCTTCGTAAAAAATCGATGCACGGACGAAACTACAACAAGTAAGAAGTCAAAATATAAATTTTAACGGTCAGCATTCAAAGTGAAAGTATCATCACTTCAAACTAAGAAATTGTGATGATGGTGTTGATAATTGAGGTCAAAAATGCTCAAAACCCAAAACTCGCTTACGCTCGTGGTTCCACTTGAGTTTTGAGCATTTTTGACGTCAATTGTCAATAAGAGTACAGACAATGGAAAACCGCCTGCGAATTGTTAAGTCGATATTTAAATTCATCAAATTCAAAAAAAGTTCAATATTTTCATTTTATAGATTTTTTGTCGAAATTAGACCATATCTAAACAAAGTCTTAGGCTTCATACAGATTTATGTACACGGTATACTTGTCTAACAATCTTCGAGTTGTGTCGCCATTGGCGGCTTGATTTTCCTGGGAACTCTTAAGCGTGGATTTCACTAGCACATAAACATAGCATAACCACAAGCATGAGAATCATATGCATCAGTGAGAACGGGCTCGGCATAAGCATAACACATTGAGCATGCGCATGAGAGTATTATTTCGGTAGCAGGCTTATGCCTATTTTGAGCCCGTTCTCACTGGCGCATATGAGTCTCGTGCTTCGTGCTTATGCTTATGCGCTAGTGAAATCCACGCTTAAGGTGCTCTGGCTAGTATCCTCTCGCAGCCGTTAAGATGTTCGTTCCCAGGTCACTACGAACGTCCTGACGGCTGCGAGAGGAGACTATGCTCTGGCCTGCTATTTGTTTAAAGTCATGTTTTCTGTTTCAGGGTTTCTTGATCTTCCTTTTCAATTGTGTTAGAAATAGTGAGGTAAGTAAATGACTATGTATTCTCCTTGATAGCTTCTCCATTTTCTTTGCTTCCTGTTTCTGGAAGGAGGCAGTAAAGGGTACCAGTATAGAAAGCAGACTGAAAATTCCCACTCGTCTGTGAATTAATTTTTATGAAAGGGACAATATTTGACAGCTTGTTTGCATTTCCTTGACAGATAAGATCAAAAGTCAAGAGCAAATTTCATTTTTTTCATCGCCCCAGAACACCATCAACCATCATGCCCAGTCCCAACCCCATAACTCTTCGACAATCTGATAATGTAACTATGACAGCATTTAACAAGCGATCGGCAGAATTACCTGAAGGAGAACAAGTGCTCAATAATAAGGGACAAGATGCAAAAGAAAAACAACTTTGTGTAAAGAAAAATAACAAGGAAAGTAAAAGTGCCAAAAAAACTCAGAGAAAAGGAAACTTGGAGAAACCTCAGAAAAACTTAGAGAAAAGACAGAATTCAAAGAAAGTTTGAAACATTTGTCACTGATGTAAATTGTATATTGTAAACTGACATGTTTTTTTGGTAATGAATAGATAGCACAATAAATATATATTGCCTCCTGATCACAATCAAACATTGGGAGCAATAGGATTAAAACAAAATGGTGGTATTCTTCATCACCTGCCATGTTGGTAAAAACGCCAACTTGGTCTGGTATCTATTACTGACATTTAATTTACAGCTTGTTCCTCGACCAATGGGCAATTTTCATCTGTACGAGACTGTAAATTTTATAAATCTGTGGGACTCTCTTGCAGGCCCGCCCATCCTTTTTCTTCCCATTCCCTACGCTAAGCAGGCTATTAACTCTTTGTCATTCTTAAAAGAAATGCCACACAACAGCAATGATACAGGAACGCAGGCAGCAAGAGTGAAAATCAATGCTTGCAGATGTAAAATATAAGTTATTTTTGAGCACATTTAATAAATGAATYCTTATTTATTTTCAAATACAATTTGTTTTCAAAATGCATACATGTGTACATGTATTAATAAATTTTGYTGTTTCTAATTTCTTAATTTACAAAATATATCGTTTTTCAAATATTTTGGAATAGGACAAAACAACTTATTTACAAACTTTATGCCAGCATAAATTGACAATGAATTGGTGCAAACCAACTTAATTCAATACCTTTGCAAAAAAAAGCATATAATTTTTACTTTTTAAATGTTTGCTATTTAACTCTAATAAGGTTTCTTTCAAAATTGTGAATGTGCATTAATTTTACATCTACACCAGGTAGATAGTCTATTTCTATTTACAAAAAAGAATAATACCAGGGAACGGGCTCCCTGTCTAGTTTTCGAGCAGTGCCTTTTTTGAAAATGTACGAAAAAACAACATTATTTAACCAAACTCAATGAATTTATGTCTGGAAAATTAGAAATATGGCGTAGTACATTAATGATTTGGAAAGGTTCAGGTATAGTCCATTTTCTTGTCCGTCTTTGCTAAACTTTTGCCCTTGGGTTGTGCATTCTAAGCTTCTTCAGCAAAAACATCAGAAAAATAAGTTCTTCCGCGTCTTTCATCGAAAAGTTGAATTAATTATTGTTAACTTAACAAYATATCTTAGTGCAGTCCACATGGTTATCGAAATGTGCTAAGATTTAGCTTCCTTTTGRCCGTCTGTGTTTGGGTTCCTCGCGCTGCCGGGGCTTGTTTCGATAATGGATGAAGGARCTTTAGGTTGTTTTGCTCAACACTTTCTTGGCTTAACTTTAAATTTGGAGTTGCAGCGACACAGCTTTGGCGGTCATCTTTTGCTGTCTTGGTTTCTTTAACAGAGCTTGATGGCCCTTCGTCCGAAGSCTCTACGAAATCTGCTACGTGGTTGAACTCTAAGCGTTTTCTGCACTTCGAATGTACTCGGTTCTGGGCTGGAATGAAATTTCTTTTTCGGAAGCTTTGCTTCTTCTTTGGTGCCCATAGAATGTGTCCAGAATCCAACAATCTGCCGTCAGGTGGAGGAGTCACTTGTAGCGTTGCTGGCATC